CAAGGTTCTCAGGAAAGAGGGGGCACATTCCAGGAAGAGCAGAGAGACAAGAGACAACACAGTCCGGAGCAGGAGCGTGGGAAATGTAAGAGATTTAGAATAGCCACTCTCTAGAATCTCCCAACTACTGTACTATTAGTTACAGTAGTACAGAATTAGTCTGACAAGATTCTGTTTATGTGGTATAAGCAATAAAAGAACTGAATTTGGATGAACTCTTTCCCTGTTGTTTTTGGTTTGGGCCTGACAAGAACCGATTTTCTTAATGTAACCAATCTACAAAGGTTTTGACTTGCAGAGCTTTTACTTGAAAGTTGCTTCATCTTGGTATTTGTTATAGATATTACCGCTCCATTAGTAGAGGACAGAACATATGAGGATCGGACTTCAGCTCGTCAGCATGCAGAGATGCTTGAAGGAACCACAGGTGAGGCAAGTGAAGGTACCACAAATATGACTTAGAGCCTCTTCATACTTTGGTTTATGATATGTGGTAATTCTGAAGGGCACAGACATCTGTACAATGCAGCATTCTTGCTAAAGTACCTGTAAGAGAGTTTGGGTTGGGGGGCGGGGCAGAGACAATATTGTGAACTTCTATATAATTCCTTGGTTCTATGCATATTATAACACGTTTCATGATTCCATGAGTGATGATAGGTTGAGGGCCTCACTGCAGAATTTGGTTTTCTAGCAAGAGAAATGTTTATTTTTCTTCATGATCTTTGTGCAGACACACCTATAAGGAAAGACAGGGTAGGCCCCACTCATCCCCTTGAATGGGTGGGCCTCATTCACTTAAATAAATTCCTTCCTGCTCTTTTTTTCTTTTTATGGTTGTCTAAACAACTTTGTAGAGAAAATTCTGACATTTTGGAAGTTTTATTTTTCTTCTGGAATTCATGGTGTTAGAGTCAGGTGCATGTGTATGTTATATGATACTGTTTTTCATTATTCTAATTCTGTTCAGTGATTGTTCAGGTTTCTCCTCACAAATGAGATTCCCCCCCCCCGAGGCACGGCTAATAATTCTGTTTCTCCTAAATAATGGTATGTCAGGGAAGGTCACAAATGCTGATAGATATGAAAAGTGTCAGTCTATTTGTGCTCTTCTGACCTTATTTTATTTTTATTTATTTATTATTTCAATTTATATGGCCACTCAGCTCAAATTCATGACTCTGGGCAGCTAACAGTATTAAAAGAAAATATAAAAGCACTGAAAAAAACAAAAAAACACACACACATAGAAACAGCAGCTGTGGTAAAAACAGACCCACTTATCGTAAATTAACTAATGATGGGCTCGACCCCACCTCACCCCAGTCTCGATGACAAAACCAAGTCTTTAATGCTTTATGAAAGGCCAACAGGGTTGGGGCCAATCTAATCTCTGGGGGAATGATATTTCAAAGGGTGGGCACCATGGCAGAAAAGGCTCTTATGCAGGAATGGGGAACCCATAGCCCTGTATGTTAATCCTCATGTTGCTGGGTTAAAACTTCTTTAACACTTCACTATTAGCGTGCTAGCTGTGGCAGTTGGGAGTGGTAGCAACAACAGGAAGAACACAGGGTGTCCGCTGCTGGTTTTGTGTATTGATAAACCGTATAGGAATAGACCTTGTTTGTCCCTGTTTCTAAATCTTCACACAATACTACTTGTCCGTTGAAACCCTTTCACTCCTTCCTGTATTCATGTTTATTTCCTCCCATTCTTCCTTTTTTGACCAGACTAGAGAGCTGTTCATTACCATCAGCAGCCTGAAATGACACCCTTAAATATGTTCTTTTATGCCCTCTATGAAAAAAAAACCCCTTTCCTCACCCTTTGCATTTGTCCTAGCTATTGTCCTGTGTGTCTCCCCACCACCACCTTTCTTTTAAAAAAAAAAATCCTGGAGAGAGTTGCTTCTCTCTCAACTGAACACCTACTTTGCGTGTCATGACTTTTATGATTAGTTTCAATTAGGATTTTGATCTGGGCATTCCACCAGTGTGTTGAGTATTGAACAACATTTGGTGGACAGAGCACACCACTTGTCATCTGTGCTGGTGCTGCTAGGTTTATTGGCTACTTGAACATCAGATACTTCAGTCTCTGTGTGTCACTGGTACAGTCTTCTCTTAGTTCTTGTCTTCTCCTTCTGTTTCTCTCTCTTCATCGTTGAGCAGGTGCATCCCCACAAAATCTACTCATTCGGTCTCTCTGGCATTTTTGGTTGTTCCTCCTCTTCCAACAAATTTTAGGTTGAGGGCCTTTTAAGACTTAATTCCACAGCTTTGGAATAGGCTCCCCCTTATTCTTCAGATGATAGGTGCCTTTTTTAGTGTTTAGATATGGGCTTTAAATGTTCTTGTTTGATTCTGAGGAATAGGGTTGCTCCTCTGATTGTGAACTTGTTGCTTCTGGTCTGGCCTGGTGACAGGGTTGTTTAGTTTTTATGCTGTACTTTGCTTAATTTTAATTAGCTAATAGTTATATGTTGCTAGTAGGTTTTACAGTGTGTAGGTTATTCTTTTTATCGTAAGGTGGGTTACCTGTTTGGTATTTCACTATTCTCTTAGAGATGCCTAAGTTTTTAATGTGACTACTCTGTAATTTGGTATCTTCTAATTTAATTTATACTCCTTCATTTCTGTTTTGTGCTTAGTTTTTAACCATGATATCATCATCTTCATCTTCATCATTATCTTTTGCCTAGATTCTTCATTTTACAGATTGCCTACATCTTGTCTAAATTTGGCCATGAGGTTGCTTTCAGTTCGTCTCTGTCCTTTCTGTCTCAGCTTCTAACTGAACATTGCCCTGTGCTCTTCTGTTATTTTATCTGAGATAATCTGATTTACATAGCTGCCAGAATGTACCTCCAAATCAAGCCATAACTTAAATCATAAATTGAAAGATACAGGTCTAAGTTGTCCTAAGATCTTAAATATCCAGTTGGAGCATAAACTTCTACATACCACCCAGTTATTCTTCTGTTAGCATACTATTTTTGATATCTGCTGTTCCATCAAATGAAGGACTGTTCACTGGGATCCTCATTTGTAAGAGTTCTAACTTCTGCTTTCAGTCTACTGATGGCTGTCTTCATTTTTACCCTTTCTGATTTTTATCTTGAAATTAATAATTTTACTTCATATCCACAGCACAGTTGAGATTCTGTAGTTCAGATCATCTGCTGTTAGTCAAAAGAGAAATTGCCAGCTACACCTCCCTTCTCATTGGAGTCTATTTCTGCACTGTGAAGGCAAAACACTTAGGATTTGCAGCTTATTCTGTCTTTATAGTTGGAATCATTGGTGCAAGCTCTGAATGGTATAGCGATTGATATCTGTCTATTTGGATGTCTAAGTACGAAGGGTGGAATTCCCAACAATAAATTCTGGTACACTTGCTGTACTGTTAGATAATCTACTATGAGAAATATGATTAAGGCAAACAGCTCTATGATTCCAATCCTTTAGAGAGAATCTGATTCCATAGAGTCACCTCCTCATGCAAGGCCCGATGTGATAGATGAACTACAATATGACACTTGTCTTGTGTGCATCAATTGTTTTGTGTTCCTTTAAACAACAAAAAAGCATTCTTTAAACAGCCAAAAGAGATAATGTTAAAGCACTAGAGAAGAATAATATAATCCAAACAGTCTATTCTTTTTTTTTTTTTTAAGTTTTAATTAGATCTGTTTTGGAGTTTCAAAAGAAAGGTGCAAAAAAGAACAAAGTTTGAGGGAGTTTGAGGGAGAGGGCTGTTTGTTGAAATGTGCAGCTGTGAAGGAAGAGAAGTGCAGAACTTATTTGCTATACAATATTTTCTTATACAAACCAATTTTTGATATGTGTACTATGTAACTATACGACTACATTTGGGATCTGTAAGACATAGTACTTCATTCAAGAATCATTAATATATTTTATCATATGAAAGCTCTTTTGCTATATGCTTATATAGTGGACTCTATGTGAGATGTTACTGTGTAGGGCAAAGGTCACCAAAAGCTATCCATGGATATTGTAGCACTAGTGGTGCTTATTGGCTATTTATAAAATTAAAAATGTTTAAAGAAGCTGTGAAAAAAATTAAAACTGGCCAAAAATTAACAAGACAGCAAAATCTGACAAAATTTCTGTTGCACAAGATTTTGACAGTTCAGCCCTCTCTCTCTCTATTTTTTAAAAACACTATTTATTTAAATAATGTAAATGTATTTATTTTAGTCTAATTTAATTTGTGATCAACTATTGTTCCAAGATCATTTTCATAAATTTTATTGCCAGGCCAAGTGACTCCCACCCCTTCAGCTGTGCATTTGATTTCTGTTTCCTAAATAAAGATTTTTACATTTGTCTCTGTTAAATTTCATTCTGTTATTTTTGACACATTTCTCTAATGTACAATATAAATATATTTTTTAATTTTTATTTTTGTCTTCTAAAGTATTTCATACAATTATGCATATATAGGGCCCTGTACTGAGCCTTATAATAGCCCCTCAGTACTTCCAGTTAGATAAAATGAGCACCAAATACAATTTCTCAGCTAGTTATGTATCTGCTTAATTGCCATGCCATGTAGCCCATACTAAACTAGCTTGTTCATCAGAATGTCATTTGGCCCCCCCCAAAAAACAACCTTTGCCAGATGTTTTATTGAAATCAATCTGCGTCTCCAACATTCCTACACTCTACTAGGCATGCTACCTAACAATTCTGGGTTGATTTGTGGTCATCATTGTCTTGTTTCCAGGGTACTTATAGTTCAGTTGCTTTATGTTCAGCTTTAGAATCTTCCTGGATATCAGTGTCAGATTTGATTGGTTTGTAGTCTCCTGCATCCTCCTTTTTTCCTCCTTTATAAGGACAGGGGTAACATTTGCCATCCTTCAGTTGCCTGGCACTTTATCTATTCTCTGATTTCTCAGAGCTAATATATAAACTTTTGGCTAGACTGTCAGCAGTATCCCTCAGGCCCTAGGATGCAATTTGAAACTCAAGAGCAGATATGTAATCCTTGACCATCATTCTATCATTCTCACCTCCAATTCTGTTCCTTTATCTTATTAACAATTATCTGATGGTACACACATCCTCTTCTCAGGTTGTGTGCTGCTCTCCTTGTTATTTACTAGCTTACTAAACAGTTTAGAGTCTGTATGACTGTTCTGCAGTCATATAAATCAGAATGTCAGTACTTGGTGGACGTGCTTGCTCCTTCCTTGGGCACAACTTATATGTTAGCTATTACTTACATACTGTTCAACCTCCAGAGTTGTGCTGTACATTGTAAAGTTCTGCACAGCTTGCCTATTAGTAATTCCATTAGGCTCCATTAATTATAGTTTACTGAATTGATTCATCTCTACTGGGCACACCCTCTGCTTTTCTTCTGGTGGAAAGCTATCTCAGTAGCAGAGAATATTCTATAGTCCTGCTGTTGTATCTGAAAGGTAGATGGATCTTATGTCTGCTTTGTTCAGAATGCTTGTCATTAGGAGGTATGCTGGAAATGTTCAAATGCTTATGCAGCAAGTGAAGATATGCTATCAGTGCTATAATATGTTTCTGACATCTTAATTACTTAGGATGCACTTGGCAATTCTTGATGCAGAACCCCATCAATAGATGAGTTTCTATTACCTTCTTCTCCTTGGTTTGCCATTTTAGAAACCTAAACAATTTACTTTGTGACATCTTCTATATGTTATTGGTATTTTATCTGACTTTAGTTAATGGGGCTTCCCGCTGAGCTAATGGTTATTCGAGATTTTCACTTTAAAAAGATTGCATTGTTGTTAGCACTTTTCCCAGGCGAAAATAGTGAGCATGGGACCTGTTGGATAATCAGTCTTACTTATGTCTTTACAGAGACATAAGCAAGGCTAGGTATCTGATGTTCCAATCTTTTCATTATACTAATGCAAATGGTAGTTTGAAGGTACTTTGAAACATTTGAACCAAGACTTGAATCTTCTTTATCTTATCTGTTATCAAGTGTGAAGCAGAACATGCTTTCCATATGTAAGATGTTCAAAGAGCTCTAGTTCGTTTTTGTTTTTGCATGATGCCTTTTTAAACTTTGTACAGCTCTTTTTATCCTATTGGCCCATCTTTTTCCTTCAATAATTTGACTTCAAATGTAAGTATACATTTGGATTAGACTAGAAATTAATGGAACTTAAGTCATTATTAACTTATATCCCACTGATCCTAATGGATCTCTTTTAAGTATGAACAAGTCAGGATCTAAGCTTTCTTATGTAGTGTGCATTATTGAACAGATGAATTAGTTATCAACCCATTTTTTTCCTATAGAAGAACTTCCATATGAGCTGTTTCTCTGGTAGAACTCTGCAGATCTCTTGCTCTTCTGATGTTTTTGCATCCATCTTCCTGTAGGTCAGTGTGGTAATCTCCTAGCTTTATGAAGCATATAGGAGAAAAGGCAGGTTGCTTATTTGTAACTTTCTTCAAAATAGTATTCTGTTCGGTCAAACAAACCATCCTCTCCTGTTGCAGGGTTTGATAGGAACTTGTAAGTCAAACTGAATAGAATAGAATGACACTGACCTGCCCCTTAAGATATAGACATCTTACAAGATCTGACTGTTCAGAGGAAGGGGCCAAGTGTCAGTTTTCTACTCGTCCAAAGGCTTTTACTTTGGATAGGTGCAAAATCCATTGGAGTAGTTAATGGAAGAAGGTCAGAATTAAATCTTAAAGAAGGTTAGAATTAGGTATGTAATCTCTTTTCCTATTCACATCTTTGTACATTTCCTGTTGACAAATATGAATGTGAAATGTACTGAAAGCAACAGTATCCTTTGACAGAGGAGAAAAGCACCAATCTTGTATCCGATATGTAATACTCATAATAATATTGTAAAAAGCAATTAGTCTTTGGGATTCAGTGTTTGAATGTATGCGTCTCTCGGAGCAAACTTTTACTTTCCCCTTTGAGTGAGTGAAAGTGGTTACAAGAAGTTATGTTTAAATGCTTCCAACCAGGAATATCTTCCAGTACAACTCCTATGAAAGGAGCAAGTTCAAAGCACTAGTGATGTCTTGAAGTGTGGGAGCCGCATGATGAGAGGCCCCCAAAAGGATTTGGCCTTTGTGGTGCGACCTGTACCTTATCGCTGCCCTAATGAGGGTCCTAAAGTCAGAAATGAAATAGAGCGGTATTTCTCAACCTTAGCAACTTTACGATGTGTGGACCAGCTCCCAGAATTCCCCAGCCAGCTTTGGCAATAATAGAATATTAGTTATATGTATTATAGAGTATTATATGATACAGAATATTATATTTTATTATACGAAATAGCGCATTGCCAAATATATCTTATTCAAAGTAAATTGACAGTTCTTAATCATCCCTTCTGAGAATCCATGGATACCTGAATCAAGGCATTCCAAATAATAATGTTAGCAATCAAGGGACAGGATAATTTGTTTATAAAACCTTCAGTTAACCAAACTACAGACAAGCATAGCTATACTATATTAACCCAATTGCAGATGAACATGCTATATTGTTTCCTGTCTTTATGAGGATACAGTATACAAAATCTGCCTTTGAAGAAAATCTGTCAGAAGAAAGCTTGCATCTTCCAAAAAGCTGTGTTAGGTGTATATATAAGCTCATTGATATCATTGGGCTTCAACACACTTAGCTCTGTGAAATAATAGTGTATTCATAAGTGGTCAGAGTATTTTCTGCAAACCTTGTCAGTTTTACTATATTTTTCTTCAGGTATGTGTGTATCATTGATGAATAGGATTCAGGAATAGATATGATTTATTTTAGCCGAAATGTTTTTCATCATTTAATTTCATTTTCATTTAATGTACTGCCACACATTTCCAAATATCCACATATGATTTGAAAAAATAGAAACATCTGTCTTGTCTGTCTCTGTCTTCAATATTTTTAATGTTGAAACCATTTTCCCATCTTTAATTTGAAAAATTTAGCTGAGGAAGCAGGCATAGTTTGTACTCCTAACCATGAGGACCATGCTTCCGGGGATGCTCAAGGTAAGCACAGTAAACTTTATTTCCTATGTATTTAAAAAGTGCTTTGACCCTGGAAATTGCTTAGATCAGACTATGTACTGGCTTAGTGGTGTGAGAGAGAGATGTGGGCTAAATAAAAAAGCATTAAACAATCAAAAAATAAATGTAAACAATAAAAGCAGCAAGAGATTAAAAATAAGAGTATAAATGTATATTATAAACAGCACAGTTTCCAACCATCCATTATTTCAACTCACCCTCCCAAATTCTTGGCCAGTTAAAAATGCAGTTGAATTTTGTTTTCCATAATTGATAGGTTTCATTTTCAGTTTGGTTTTGTAGAGTGAATTGCTTTTGGTGAACAAGATCTGAACTAAAAGCAGCCGTCTTGCAACCAAGAACAGAAGCAGTATTTCTCTACAAAATATACTTGCTGTTCTATTAACTGCAGTATACGCCTGAACCTGGACAGATTATTAAGTCTTAACTGTGGTTAATTGAAAGTAGTTCCATCATAGCTTAAACATTTGAGCTATTTTACCAGAACCTAATTGCCTTAACTATAGGGTCATATTTAACACTGGTCAAGTGAAATTGGAAACAAATTCTGTTTCCTGTTGCTCATAGCCAGGCCAGGGGAGAAGAGAAGGCACACACCTGAGGCTCTTGGACACAATGATAAAGCACAGTTTGTCGTTACAATTAAATTGGGCTATTGTATCTATGCCATGCTGTCAGTGCTGTCTTAGAATTTTGGCTACCTGTCTCGAAAATGATTGGAGAAAACATAAAGGAAGATGGTAGTTGATAATTTGAATCACATTGTCTGAAGCTATGGATCATATCATAAAAAGTGAGCATATATAAATAAAAAGAAGTAAACTTTGCTTCATCGAGATAAAATAATAAAATAATAAATAGTATAATAGTTACGGCTACTAAAAATAAATGTTTCCAATAGCTAATAAACATTCTTGATGTATTTGTGCTACCAACTTTGAATAGTTAGTTGTTTAAAAAAATAAAGATACAGGATGTGTTAAATAAAGAGGTGCTTTATGGGCATATTCAAAATTTATCATTTTAAAATAATTGTAATAATTACTTTTTATTTTGTGACAATGCAAAATAACTGTTAAGACAGACTCTTTGGTTTGTGTTTCTTGCCCTACCTTAAATTTGAAATAGTTCAAATTAATAAGGTCTTAGAACTCCTTTAGGCTCAATAAATGGCCTTTTAGATTAAAGGGATGTTGGTTATAGCTAATAGTACTATAGCACTCAGTTTTTCTTGTCTCCTTGTCATGATCATGCCTTGTGTTGTTATGTTGTTAGTTGGAGTGAGTGGAGCTAATTCAGGATGCTGCTGTAAATAAGATAAAAATCAAGTCACACACACACATCCGAGCTTGCTTATTTAGGAACCTGCACAATTATTTAATTGAAAACAGAGCTTTCCACATATTTCTTGTAGCTTTTCCTTTTGAGTTGATCCACGGTCCAAACCAGGGGTCCTCAAACTTTTTAAATGGGGGGCCAGTTCACGGTCCCTCAGAATGTTGGGGGGCCGGACTATAGTTTGAAAAAAAACATGAGGGTCCCTCCTGCGGAGTACGAGGAGAGGAGGAGAGCCGCCGGACCCGGCATACCTGTCATATAGAATAGTCCAGCTCTGCGATCTCCCTCCTTGTGCATCACCGGCAGCTCCCGACACAGCCCTGACACTTCCGCTTCTGACAGACAGCAGCAGCGGCCAATCAGGCAGGTGGGCTGGATAAATGACCCTGGCGGGCCGTATCCGGCCCGCGGGCTGTAGTTTGAGAACCCCTGGTCTAAACTATTAGGTGATGAAAAAATATTGTATAGAGAGAAAATCAAAGAGAAAGATTGTGTGGAGCTGTCATACATGGCCTCATTGCCACTGACTGAGGATAAATATAAGGAGTTATTCATAGCTCAGAGAGTCCAGACAGAGGATGTCAAAAATTGATAAAGTGTAGACCAGTGTCTCCCCACCCTCCACTCTCCAAAAACGGTATGGAACTTGAATTAACGATTTGTCCTGTCTTTGATCAAGGTCAGGGGTTGGGAACAGTGTGTTATTATGCTGTTTGAGGTCTTGTTCCAAAAAGAGCAAGCCAGAAAGGCATACAGAAGCAGTAAGTTGATGCAGAAATCAAAAGCCAACCTTATCCAAAGATTTAAATGGCAAAGAAAATAGAACAAAGGTTATGGTTCATGCAACAAAGAGTTGGAACACAGGTTGTCAGGTGATTGTTGGGTTCAAGGAGCCAAAGTAACCAGTTGTACAGGTTCACAGGTGATAGAAATTGCATCTAGCAGTGAGCTATTCTCAAATTGATTCAAATTAATCTTCCACAATCTGGGCTCTCTGAATTCCCTGGCCAGCATGGGCATTGCTCAGAATCATATGCCCGTGGAAAGGCACCCAGTTTGAACAAGGCTGTACCAGAGGCTGTACTTGTTTTGCCCATACCCAGCTGATGTTCATTAATTTTGGTCTAACTGCAAAATCATTAAGGCATGTTGGGCTTGAGTAAGCCTTCATCCCCAGGGTATCTCCACTATAAGCCAGTATTCCTCTCTGCTTTCTGATACTCAGCCCAGTGCTGGAACATTCTCTTGGAGATGGGTGTTGTGATGAGTCTAGAGCAGAGTTCCTAGCACATTGTCATAGACACTGGGGACTAATTCTGGCCCAGGTTTTGTGCTAAGGCCTGGGTCAGCTAGTATGGAGGGCTCAGAAGTATTATTGTCCTCAAATCAGGACATGACACTGTTGAAGAAATCTAAAAGAGAAATTGGCTTTCCATGTTTTCCACCTACAGTAGTGTCTCCTCCTACTTAGAGGTCTTCTAAAGGAATATGCCATTGGACTCAGAAACAGTGAAAATTGAGAAACTAGTGAAACAATTTACTGGGCACTCCAAGACGAAAGAGTCATTCTTGCCCAAAGAAAGTTGGGCCATTAGCAAAACTGGATTCCTCTTGGCATTTTTATCAAATTGAAGTTGAAGCTCATGTCCCAAAGAAAAGCCAAATAAGTAAAAGAAGTAGAAAGGATTTGGATACTGACCAGAACACAGAACTGAAAAAAAGTCTCAGAAAACAAGTTGCCAGCAGTTCCTCAGAGAAACAGAATGGCAATCTGTTGGCACTTCTGAAAGATGAGTGCACAGTTGTGTATGATTTTGTTCTGTGTAATGAAGGGACAGCTGCTGGAACCGTTAGCAGGATAACACACTTTCCCCAGAATGCTGCTGCTTTGACATTCACTCGGTGATTTGATGGGAAACAAAAATGCTAGTGTGGCATTTTTATCAGCTTTATAAAAAGCTTACTTCTTTGTTGGAAACAAGAGTCTCAAACTTAGGGCCCATGGACTACATGCAGCCCTCACAGTAACTGTGTGCAGTTCATGCCTCACTCGCACAAAGCAGAAGAGCAACAACCAGAAACAGGGTAGCTGTAGCTATGGCTTTAGCGTGAGAAATGTGGCTCTGCCCCTGGGCAGGGCAAGCTAAGGAGCAGCTGCACTCCTAACTCTGCATCAAGCTGCCATCCCAGCAGGACTGGGCCGGACAATTTGCCCCCCGGGTGTGGAACCCCCTTCTTACTCTAAAGCAGTAGCAAGGGTGACCTCAGTGAAAAATGACAGACAGAGAGAGGTGGAGTTTTACAATTTTATGCAGTATTCTTTTAATTATAATGGGAATTCAGTGTTTTATTTTTTTTATAATTTATTAGAGTTTTCAAATACAAGGATAAAAAACTAATACAAACTAAGGAAATTATAAAGAAAGGAAAAAGAGAAGTGCAAAGAGAGAGAGAAAAAGGAAGATATATAAAAGATGACTCCCCCCTCCCTCCAGACAAGTATAAACAGTTTCAGTAATTTAATATCTTCTCTAGTATTTCAAAATATATATACAGTATATCTTCCCATATCTCATCTCTTATTAATAATCAAATTGTAAAAACTCATCTTTCAATCCTAATCAGTGAAAGTCCCTTTAGGGCTACCAGAAATAATAACATAAGTATTTTAACCTTAATCAAAAAAATCCATTTTATAGTCCAATTTATCACTTTCTCTAAAAAAACAACAACAACAACAAAAGAAATCTCTCCCCACTGATATACAAATCCTAAAAACTTCATCCTTCAGTCCTGGTCAAAAAGAAATCCCATTGGTAACTATGAGAAACCACAACCTATATTTTAACCATAGTCAAATAGATTCACTTTATAAACCTTCTTTTTACTTTTAAAGAGTTTAATCTTTAATCCTGACAAATAATGTCCCACAAATTGATTCCTTATGATTTTCCCTTTGTCTGCTTTCAGGAACAGCCTCAGTAGTTTCTCTTTGTCTCTTCTCAGACACAGCTTCATCTGTTTAACACATCCCTTTTGTAAATTCAAAATAAAAAGGCTTTCCAAATCACTCTTCTGGTTTATTATTTGTATGTCCCCTTTAATTATTATGACATCATCTGATTTCATCTGTAAATCCATTTTAGTGTCTTTTTCCATTTTCAGATCCACGGCATCTTTCTCCAAATCGCTTTTATAATACAGCATTTTTAAAAACTCCAAATCCACATTCAGATCGGCCTCAATCTTCATTTTTTCCAATGAAATCTGTTGTACTTCTGTATCCTCTGTTAGTCTTTTAAGTAGTTTTTGAGTACATTGCTCCCAAACCACCTTAATATCTTCTATAGTCAAATAGTATTGCTCCATTGTATTAATGGGTCTCTTCCCCTTTAAATGTAATTGGTGGTTCTCTCTGGTTCCTTCAATCAGGTCCCCTTATCGTCTGTTTATTTTCCAGACAAGGCGACTTTCTCATGGGAAGATTTCTTACAACTGATTTCAAAGTCTTCATATGTACATTTTTAGTAATTTTTAAACACCCTACAGGAAATATTCTTTCAAGTCCATCTAGCCCCTTAACTTTCCAAAAACCCTTTTGCTGTTCAAAATGTAAATCTTTT